GGCCTCTTTGTCTCCACTAGAGAAAAAAAACCAACAAAACCACACCCACCCTACATTTATCATCAGCAAATGGTTTTATCAAGAAAGCCCGAGTCCTCTTGAAAACTGGTGGGGCTTCCCCCTGGGAGACCCTGCTAAAAAGCACTGGTGCGTTTTGATAGTTAATTGATAGTTAATGATGGATGCTGCCGGCGCCACTGCCGGGCAGGTGCTGGGGTGAGGGGTCCAGCCAGAGTGGGTGGCTCAGTCCCCCCATCCCCTCCTACCTCCTAGCACCCCCAAGGCTGTGCCCAACCTGTCCCGGGGCATGAGCATCTGGGGTGTGAGGGAGCAGCCAGAGGGGGTGGATGTGAGGGAGAACCCCATGCAAGGTCCTGGCAAAACCGGGGAGGGCCATCGCCTGTCCCTGGTGCTGAGATGGTGCGGGAATCCAGTTCCCAGCTCCAGAGGTTTTCCATGTTATTCCACACCCCCGCTGTACAAATATCCTCTGCTGTAACGATTGCGAGGTACGTTTGAAAAGGGGCCAAGGAACAAATTATGTAAAGAGCGAAGCAGAGGAGCAAACAACAGCGGGACTGGGTTAGGACCAGCCGCGGACACTGCTGCGGAAAGTCTGCCTCACCGGGGCCCCAGCTCTGCCATCGGTGTGAGGGTGCTCCCAAAATCCTCGCCCACGCACTGCTGGCTGCCCCGAGAGGCGGCAGTGCTGGAGCAGGGATCATCACCTCTGTGTAGAGGGGCAGAAAGTGAGGTGTGGGGTGGAGGGCCGAGAGCGGGGCTAGGTGCAGGGGGGGACCTTGCAGGCAGCAGGGATGCAGCACCCAGGGCAAAGCTGCGGGGCTCCGAAACGCCCTCGGGGCAACACGGCACCCCTGTCCCTGGCAGCTCCAGGACCTGCCCCCCCCTCAGAGTGGCCCCGAAGCCAGACCCGGAGATCTGCCTGAATCCTTGAGATGCCAGGGCGTATCAGCCAGCACCAACACTCCAGGACCAAACATCCCACAGGCAGCTGGCCTCCGACGAGCCCTGTGGCCAAACATGGCAAGGCGTCCCTGTCCCTTTAAAAATTTCCTGGAATAAAATGTTAAAAGGAAAAGAGGAAAAAAAAAAGCAAAATCCAAAATAAATAAACGTCCACATCCGGATTTCTCCCCCGAGACACTAATAAAGGCTTTATGAGTTTGATATGAATTACCCTCCCCAGCCATTTACAGCTGATCTTCTGGAAGGCATTAGGCTGCTCGCCCCTTCCCCAGCCTG